AATCAAAACATAGTATTGAAATATTTGCGAATTACCGCAAAAAAAAAATGAGCCGACCATTTTTAAAATACATGCGGATGCAATATGAAACTCGAGCATCATAAAGAAAGAATATAACGAGATTTTTGATTGTTGCTTTAAAAGCAACAGAAGTAGCTGGTGGTTGTGGCAAAGTGTTCATTAAGTTCACTTCACTGCCACAAGTAAAGGAAATTTTTCAATTTAATTAAATTTGTTTGGTCTTTCATTCCTCCCAAATGTGTTCTCGCTTTGTACAAGCAAAAGTAACAAATTGCAGAACTCCTGCGTTAAATCCAGGTTACATTTCTTCTTTGTGCTGCCTTCGTATTTGGTCAAGTTCATTTCAAACTGAATGCATATGTGTGCAAGTGGCACGCTAATTGAAGGTGAAAGGTTAAAAAATCTGAAAACTGAATCAAAAGTAAAAGGAAGAAAGTAATAAGCTCAGCGATTTGTAATATTAAGTCTGTGCATACAAATTAATCTGGTAGATTTACGTCGGTACCCATCTGAAATATGCTTGCTGAACTCATTACTATACTCACACAATGCTTGCCTTATCGTCCTGTTGACTATAAATACAACTTGATTTGGTCACTCGGAAATCTCAACCTAATTATTATCAATGTGGTGTAATGAGAAACACCAAGTACTGCAACATCCTTCTTTACTTCTTCGTTCCAACGAAGTTGAGGTCTTCCACTTCCTCTGTTTAGACCGACGGGTACTGCATCGAAAACTTTCAAAGCTGGAGTATTCGTATTCATCTGGATCACATGACTTAGCCACCGCTCGCTGAACACTGTCAATGTCGCCGTATAACTTCTGCAGTTCATCGTTCCATCATCTGCGGTATTCACCTTCCCCAACTCGTAGAGGGCTATAATTTTACGCAAAACTTTTCTCTCGAAAACTCCACGTTTCTGAGCCATATAGTTGTATGGCGGGTATGATGAACGACTTGTAGAGTTTGGTCTTCGTTCGTCGAGAGCGAACTTCAGCTTTCAATTGTCTACCCAGTCCAAAGTACGTTGATTTACAGGCAGATATTGTTGCCAGTGTTAATATTGGTTTCAAAATCTATCTTTGCCAAGCTTGGTATTCTCAAAATACAATTATTAAGGGTGATCCATTTCTAGGCTCCCAAAAAACACAGAAAATTTAAATTCAAAGTGAAATGTTTATTATCATTTAAAAGAACATTCTTTGGTATTTAAGTGAAGGCTATGTTTTTTGAATGTTAGCTGCGTCTACATCTCAGATGGCCAATCAATTGAATCCAATTTTCGATGACTTGTCATAAGATTGCTCCAAGGCCTGAATCGAAGCGGGATTGTCCGCATTACGGTGTGATATCTTACGATCTTGGTGGCCAAAAGGCTGACCCGAAGTGTTCTCTCCATCGACGTCCTGCTGAAAGCGAATGCTAACGAGATCTTGAGCTTCAATTTTGGGCATCAAACAGTCGGTTATCATGGCGCGATAATGGTCGTCATAGATGTTTACGTTCTCACCGGCCTACAAACCGCACCAAACCGGTATTTTTTCTGGAGCAAATCGATCCTGAATCTTCTCAGGTAGCTCTTCGTCCCAAATACGTTAATTATGCTGGTTTCCCCATACCTATTTAGTCTGAAATTTTACTCATCGCTGAATAAAATTTGGCTCCAAAAAGTCGGAACTTATCGAGAAACCATAAACCGAGGCGATGTCGCTTAGGAAGTCCGAGCGGCTTCAGTTCTTACGCAATTTTCATTTTGTATGCTTTCAAAGATTTCCACTCTGTGTAAAATGCCTAATCGATTCTTCACGGTCTTTGTGTAAACTCTCAGTCACGCCCGCTGACGTGAATATTATCCATTAATTAATTCTGGGTCTCAAGATGGATGTTGAGGAAGTAACGTGAATTTTCGTAATAAAGTTGAAAGATTTGTAAACGTTGTTCAGGCTCAGGGGGAATGTCAACCTCTCCGAGTGTAATAAAGGCTCCTCATAAAAAATTACCCCCCGGTCGGAGGCGGCTTATTATAAACTATAGGTCTCTCCATTTGTTGGAAGAACAACAGCACGTTAAACTAAAAAATGGAGGAGGGCTCGGCCAAAAATCACTTCAGCGGTTACAATGTGGGAATTATATTTATATATACATATGTGTATCCATTTATGCATCCAGCTTGACATTTGGTGTGACACTTTGTGTGAATTTTGGGCTGGATGCATTTGTTTTTCAATAATTCCTTGTGGGTTCTCCGTACCACAAATGCGGAAATCTTAGGTAAACCCATCAAGCTGAAAATATGCTTCAAGCTTAGGATGATTGTCGCGCAAAATGAACATGTACATGGTCATTAGGTTTTAGTCATTGGTATAATAGAATTTTGTAAGCATCGAGACACAGTTTTTTAGTGAGTTTACGTTGTAAAGAGGTTCTTGAATACAGGAATGTCTGACACTCTCGTGCACTGCTTCGATATTGTTATTTGAACGATTTGTTTTTTGTGTAGTTGACGTTTCCAACGGTTATTTTCATATTTCGACCGCCAAGCTTGCATTATTTTTGAAATATTTTTCAATAATGAAGAAACTTTGTCCTAACGTGTAACTTTTATTAGGACTACCAATAAGCTATTGATTTGTTTTGTTAGGGTTGCCAACACTTGTCTTGCATTAATTTTGGTACACCCTGTACTTGCAAGTGCTATAATGTCTTAAATTTCGGTCAAAGTCTATTAGATTTAGTGCATGTTAGCGGCTACATCATAAAAATGTTAATCTTCCCAACAAATTTTGAATTATTCATTATTCATTATAAACACGATTAAGTTTCCATTAGATCTTTTAACGATGAAATGCGTGCGCAGAAAATATGTTTAATTGGAACTGGAACCCAGTTGGACGAATATTTGCTTCACTGCACATCTCTTACTAATTTGAAGATAAAACAATTTTCATAAGATTCCTTACTTTGAAGTTGACCTTTTCAAGCTCAAAAAATATACATACATATTTCTTTTGGTTTGTTCTTACAGCTCTTCTCTTGAGCAATTTTATTAATCGTTTCATCAATAAAACCACAATCAATGAAGCATTACATTCTTAGAACTAAAGGTATTGCCAATGGAGTCTTTGATGTGTAATACCGTGAGTGTTTTTATTTTCTTTACACCACGTTGTTTTTAATTTCCCTCTGCTATTTCATTTACATTTCATTTTCGTTTGTGAAGCAAGTTATGTCATTACAGAAATTTTATTTATGAATGTATTTAAAAGAAATATTTTTTTCATCTAAACCAACCCATTAAACTAATTATTAACGCAAATAGAATGGGGTGGAGCTAAAGCCATTGCTTACGCCGAAGTTGTTGCTATTGCATACAGAGGGAGATTCCATCAGAAGAGTATTGTTCTGGTCTACGCGATATGGCCTCCTTGCAAAGCCTGAGGCACTCGGAAATATTGGAGAATAACAATTTCAGCCTGATAGATGAATTACAGCTTGAAGGGAGAGTTGGGCGAACGTGCTTCCTTTCCAGTGTTTCCAGTATTTTTTGCTATAATGGTGGCTGCAAGGCAAATCTGAGCCAGCTTTTGAAATGATAATATTTTCATTTTCATCGATAATCAGGCAGCAATAAAAGCATTGGGATCGCTTACTCTAAATTTCAAATTAGTGTTGGACTATCGCTGATCCTAACAGTAGATGACCAAATAGAACAGACTGTCTCTCACGTGGGTCGCTGGTCGCAGAGACATTGAGATTTACAGCTTTTTTCAATGGCGGATAAAACTATTAGGCAAGTCAAGCAGATTCTTCTCGATATAGAAAGCATTGTTATGCTTTTTGCAACTTGCAAATTTCTTCTCAAGAAATTTGTATTTGAGCAAACCACTTCAAGAAGGAATGATACTTCTTAAACAGAGGAGCATATCCAAAGTAATAGGAGTTGTAGCAGGCCATTTTCTGACAAAACAACACGCGGAATGACTAGAAGCTCCCTATAGAAAATGCTGCAGAAACTGCAATGAAGATAAGGGGGGCGAAAACTATACCCATCTCTTACAGTTACATCTGTAGCTATCACAACCTAATCTAATCCAATGTTCAATAGAACAAAAACATATTGAAATAATTTGTTTCATGTAGCATAGTCATTATTTTTAATAACGTCACAGTGCCTTCTCGGAAGATTATTACTATTGGAATACTTTTGAAGCTTCAAATAGTTTATTTTTACTCCCGTTTACACTTTCTCTGTTTATCACCCATAGATTTTCAATCCGGTTATTGCCCGGGCCACTGGGCAATGCTAATATTTTCAGTTGCGATTCAATTTTCTATTAGTGTCCAGGTAGTCGTGTTGAAACGATCAAGGAAAGTGGCATATTCCACTCGAACTGATGAAGAATCAACCCTAAACCCAGCAAAAAGTATCCGTTTCATAACATTACCTCCGCCATGCTTAACAGTATCGAGACTAATCTACGTGCTTATTATTTGATCAGCGAACTCTTCTAATTTCATTCGAATATTTAGAACTAAATTTTATTTATCAGGAAAATTATTATGTTCCATGGTTTCACTGACCATTTAGTATGCGCTCGATCAAATTCTAAGCGGTGAAGCCGATTTTTTGTGGAAATAAATAGCTTTTTGGCTGCTTTGTAGCCTTCTAGCCCATATGTTTGTGCGCTTAAAGCCTGACTCAAATTTTTCTGGATTCTTCCTTGAGCCCAAGGATATCCGTGAGTCCTCTTACCTTGTTGCTTGGACTCTTCCAGTTTCTGTAAAGTATTTATAATGAAACTAACTATTGATTTATTCACATTAATCTTCACATATTGTAATCCTTTATAAACATTTTTTTGGTTGTCGTTAAGCCCCTTATCGGACTACAAAACAGAACTTAGTGGATAAAATGGAGCTCATGGGAAAAGTTAGTGATGTGGAAAAAACCACGTGCACGCCACCCTAAAATAACTGAGAATATTGCAGCCGTAGCTCAAAGTGTTGAAAAAACCCCAAGTTGGTTCATTCTTCGTCGATCTTCTTCGAATCGGTAAGTCCTCACATGCCATTAGATCGTATTCTGCTTAAAGACTTAGTGCCTATAAAGTTCACTCAACATAAGAACTCCAGCCAGCCGATTATCAACGACGTCTTGTCTTTCAAAGGATCTGCAATTTTAGCAAAACATTAACTTGACTGATGAGGCCCATATCCACCTCGAGAGATACGTCAATAAGTAAGACTGTCGCATATGGGGCTCGGAAAACCCAATATTTGTTGTTCAAAAGCCTCTCCATCCTCAAGTTGTAGGTTCATGATCAAAATTGGATGGTATTGATCTCGACAACGTTTGCTTTCAACGAGACGGCACTACGCGCCACCAATCATTGAAACCGGCGATCTTTTGAGGGAAATGTTGGCGGACGATGTTATGACTCCTCCTTTGAGAGGGATATGGTCTATGCCAATAGGCCAACATCGATTCCAGACACCAAATATGGAATTCGTGAACCTGTCCTCTAAAGCTACAATAGCCACTTTGCGATGTTGTGGTGGAAAATTTCGTAAAAAGGATATTGCTTCCCATCATTAAGGGCATGCCATCCTCCTTGCACTGAAATTAACATCCTGTCATTTATCTCAAAATTGTAATTTTTCTTTCAATATCAAATTAAATTTTTTTTTTTGGAAAACCCATTGTTCGAAATGATATTTCAGGATGAGTATCACCCGTAGGTATTAGTCCCATATTTTTCGTCTGACGGTGTATGTGTTATCATATGAATTGGAAGAAGAATTAAAAATCTGCTTTTACGGTAAATTATGGATTATTGCGGGAAAAGGAAAAAATGCCAGAATTTGATTTTCTAACTTCAATTTACAGTTGCTAAAAGTGGTGTGAAATATTGCGCTTTGTTGCTTTTCAAACAAAGCTTTTCTTATGCACTTTGTGCCTTAACGTTAACATACACACACATATGTAAATATTTTTATATTTTTTATTGACTATGCTCATCAATCAAAATTCGTGCTTCCATTTCATTTTATGATTAATGTTTGACTGTTTGTCTCACCCAACGGCCGCATACGCGAGCTTCGACACACACTGGGCAATTTGTGTAGATGACCTTGCAGTTCAGTATTCATTCCTAACATTCATAACGAGTCTCTCCTTGCTTGCCTCTTTATACGCCTCAGCTGCGCAGTTGCCCTTGACATTTGACCAAACTGGCTTTTATGGTATTTCCTGTTTCCGAGTACTCTAAAGTATTCATATTTTATAATTTTCTCCACACATTTACAAGATTAAAATGTCAATTTCATTCAGCAAGCGAGCTGAGCGTACGATGAAACGTCAGACATGTGATTGATTGGGCTACTTGTAAGAGTGCAAATACTCGTAAATAACACTGAAAAGTAGCAAGGCTGGGCGAGAAAATGTAAAGAGCAGATGAATGAACTTCTTACAACAGGAGAAGCTTAAATTAAAGCTCATCAAAAGTAGCTGAAGTATTCAAGAAATAAGAATGAAGGAGGCACTTAATTCGAGTAGAACCGATTTTGCTTTGAAAATATGCTTAAACTCAGTTCATTTTATTCTAACTACCCAACACAAAAACGCAAAGAAGATTATATAAAAATATTTTTTGTTGAATTAGAAATGCACGTTTCAACCACGATGCAATTTGCTTTAGTCCGAGGAATGCTGACTCTCACTCACACGAGTACATACGTGTATGTACGATCTCAATAGTCAAAAAGCTTACTTGCTGACCAAAGGATTTTCAAGCTGACGGTCTGTGCCATCACAATGGCCGAATTTATTTGGTTTTTAAATCCTAGCCGAAATCTGAATTTATTTAAACCGCAGCACTGAGTGCTAAAGTGGTTAGTGAATTCTTGTGGCTTTTTCATTTCGGTGTTGGAATGTGTGTTAAAACATTTATTATTTTAGTCTGTGTTACGTTAATTAAGCTTAGTGCCATGCAGAGTTGCATAGCAAGAAAAAAAACTAAGTGAAAAGAACAGAATTTATTTTTTGTTTTAACCAACATAGACATGAGCAAAGTGCTTTTAAAAATTTGCATATGTATTTTTGTAATTTTTCTCTCATAATGCTGATTTTTAGCGGTTACAATTTGCTGGTGTGCACACACATCACGGCTATTTGCAAAAAGTGTTAATACATTTAAATTGATTGAAAAAAAATTATTATTTATACTACGAGGGTTACCATTAATATTGCATATTAGAGCACAAAAGCAAATATATATATCAGGTGTACAACTTTGCTTTCGCCGTTTCCCGATAGGTGGCTGTACCGGCTGAGGCTGGTTGAATTACATAGATGATAATGCCTTTAAAGTGAGTGTGGACAGTGCCTAACGAATTGTCATCGCCGTTTCAGTGACAGTTTTTCTTGTTTTCGTATTATTCACGCTCGAAAATGACCGTTTATGTCCCTAATTCTCGACATTTGTGTGAAGTTTTACTTTTCTGTTACAATTCGAAAAAAAATGCAGCTGATGCGCATCGAATGCTCTCAGAAACTTACGGTGATGCTGTTCTGAGTGAAAGAACGTGTCGGGAGTGGTTTCAACGTTTTAAAAATAGTGATTTCGATGTAGAAGACAAACATGGTGGTGGAAGAGAAAAAACCTTCAAAGATGAACAACAATAAGCATTGCTTGATGAAGATTCGTGCCAAACCCAATAATAGCTTGCCGAATCGAGTGAGTCAGCAAGCCATTTCAAAACGTCTCAAGGCCCTTTGCATGATTCAATATCAGGAGCGACATGACAAAGTCATCCTCCAACACGACAATGCTCGGTCAGTGGTCTTCCCCAGATGTCGCCCCTTATGACTTCCACCTATTCCGTTCGATGGCACACGGCCTGGCAGATCAACATTTTCAATCCTCCAAAGAATTGGAAAAATGGATTGCTTCATGGATAGCATCAAAAGAGGACTCCTTTTTTCGAGCCTGGGTCCGAAAATTGCCGGAAAGATGGGAGAAAGTTGTCGCTAGCGAAGGACAATACTTTGAATAATATATCTGTAAGTACTTTTTCGCAATAAAACTTTTAATTTTGGGAAAAAAACGGCGGAAGCAAAGTTGTACACCTGTACACCCAAAAAACGTTGTATTGTTGTATCTTAATCTCCATTAAGATGTATAAATTCCACTCTGATTGAGGTATATATTCCCAAAACATGCGTTCTCAGTTAATTTTTACGTACGGATATAAAAAGAAGTCATTTGGTTCCAAGTTAGGATTGTACGGTACCGATGACTAATCAAATTGATGTTTTGAGTGCTCAAAAATGCGGTTACTGCAGTCGATGTATGAGTCTCATATCGTAGTCGGTGGATGGTATTCCTGGCGTCCTGATTGTTAGCCAGCACGCAGACTTTACTGTTTTGCGTTGTTCTTGGTTTGATCGGTTCACTTATATACGCCGATACAGTGGATTGCTGTTTACTTTTCGGCGCATACTCACCACTCTTAAAGATGTCATAGACGCGTTTCGAAGTTTCGCCGTCGTATTTTCGTAACATTTCTCTCAACCAATCGACACGAGCTTTTTTTGATCGATTCCAAAATTGTGTGGTATCCAACAGTCCAACAGTCAAATGTTTTTATACTCAAATGTTCAGGGATGCCTACAGTGGATTAATTTCATGATAGATTACAAGTTTGTCTTGGAGTGATCTACGATCTCGTTTGAATTCACCATACAATCGATAAACATTGGCCCGTGATGGAGCTTTATCTTATCATCTAAGTTCATCGATGTACTGTTGATTAATTAGTTCACATCGAAGCGAATGCTCTTAAAACAAAGAGTGTAGTAGCGAAATTTGTGGAAATTCCTTTAATTATTTACTGTTGAATTCATTATGGGCATAATTTACTAATAAAATGCTATAATATGGTTAGCACTGCGTACTGCCTTTAGGAAGGGCGGAGGTCAAATCCAGGAAATGAATTTAAAAAAGAAATTAAGTTAAAGGGAATGACCAGCCCTCGGAGTGCATTTCTGACATAAAATAAAGTCTCCTCATTACAAACCATCAGCCTCTCTGAGGCAGCTTAGTATATATCATGCTGTAGGTTCCTCCATTTGTTGGAATCACATCGAGACGCTAAACCACAAAATTCGAGGAGAAGTTCGATCGGAAATCGCTTCAGCGGTTACAAAATGCCAAGTCATTTATATTATATAATGTTTGACTTATTAATTTTGTAAAGATTATATTTTCTTCCATCGTCCAATGTCGGCAAAATCACTTACAAGCATAAGATAAATCACATTGTCAAAGAAGCTATGAAAGTATGAAAAAGAAAATTAATTGAGAAGCCCTATGAGCAAGTATGTTGTTGGGTATGTAATTTACAAACTGAAAAAGTAATTTCAAATTACAGTTTTGCAACAGAGACATAACTTAGTCGCTCTGTTAATTAAAATGGCCTTTGTGATTTAAGCGAATATACGATTGATAGAAATTTGCTTTTAGTTTGGGGAGTGCACGTGTATCATTCATGTATGTGTGCGAGTCAAGTGCAATCTAATTTTGTAATTATTCTCTATATGAGAATGCATATACATATGTATTTTATGTGCGTCCTTTGCTATAGCATGAGCCTTAAGCGACTCTTTTTCTATCAGACTTAAGGTTCGGGATCCACAATTCTCAGCCGACGTGCTATCTACATGCGGCTATGATAGAAGAACCCAGAAAAAATATACGTAACTTTTATTCGGCCGAGCTTCTCCTCCGAACAGTTTATGGCTGATGGATTTTTATGAGAAACATTTATTTTACAAACAAAAACAAAAAACTCTCTCTCTCTATCTTGTATGGATTGACATTCTTTGCCGAGACGCGGCCACAATTGAAAAATTAATTTTCTATAATTTAGAATTTTATATTACAGGCGATTGAAGATTAGTTAGGTTAGGTTGAACTGGCTGGCACTTCGGGACTGAAATAGGTGTTATTAAGTCCAACTGCAATGATAACTAACTCTCAGATTACGAGCTTC